TTTTAGAGTTATCTTATTTTTCTTTTAGTTTCATTCTTATTTTGAATTTGTGCTCACTAATTTTACTTTTTACCCTAATAATCATCCTAATAACAAATTATTTTATCTTTTCTACTTTAAAACTCTTAGAACAATTTTATATAATCACCAAATAATTTTTAGTTTTTTTTAATTTTAACTTAAAAGTAATTTTTAGTTTTTTTATTAAAAAAAACCAAACAGGCTTATGTAAATTAGTCCTTTTTTTGTGCTATGGATAAAATTTTATCCCCTGAGTAACAAAAATTAAGAGTTTTATATGATACATTGAAATACTTTTAATCATGTGCTTAATCTATTTTACAAATCAAACAAAGCATAATTTTGAGATCCGACAAGGTCTCAATTGACATGTGCACATGTTTAGGGGATTTGACAATAAGTTGATTCACTAATTTCTTTTAATAAGATTTTCTATACTAATAAAATATGTGATGAATATAGGAAAGGTAACTTTGTGCTCCTACGAGAAAAATAGAGATATCGAGTTATTCCAACTATACAGACATTAAATTTATGTGTCATACAATGGAGTTGTAAGAGAAAATTATTGAACATTGTTCTCGAAAAAAGACAAAGATTTATTTAAATCAATTTGAGTTTATGCTAGAAAAATATACGTATCTTCTTGATACAAGTACTAATTAAGAGATATTAAGAAAGGAGGAGTGACTTACATGTGGTGTTTATTGAGATTGACAATGCATAGAATAAGGTTCAAAGAAAGATTTTGTTGTGCCTTCTTAAGAAGAAAAAATAAAACACGTACGGGGGATGTTTGCTAGAGTATTTATTTTTAGATTCCTAAAAAAATGAGGATGGTAATTCAATTTATTCATATTTGATAGAAATTTTTTGAAAAATTTGTCGAAAATGTGGTTTTCCTGATATTTTATTTTACGTGTAAAATGCAAATTAAAATACCACTCAGAGAATGACATTCTCACATTTTCGGAAAAATAGAAAATTATATGTGAAAATTCTGACAAAAATTTCAATAATATTTGGCCACCAAATCATTTTTTGGTAATATTATCGAAAAATTCATTTTTTCATCGTATTCTCAAAAATCACAATTTTCGGGATAAAAATTAATTTCTCCCCTATCAAACATTCACATAAAATATAAAGAATGCGGAGGCAATCAATTTACTATATTTATAGAGACTTACACATCAAGTTGTTTTTCAAATCTCAATAAATTTATACCAATATTTTAATCGATTCCTTAATTTTTGCCCTAATTATGAATGAGGTAACAAAATATATGTAAAAAGGAGAAAAGAGAAGGAGATTAATGATTTAGAGAGAGAAGATCAAGGAGAAGAAAATGGAAAACATTAAAAAAAACAAAGAGAGTAAAAAATTATTTTCAATTCTTCTTGTTCCATTTATAACATTATCTTGATCACTACTTATACTGAGATTTGTTGTAACAGAATTGATCATAAAAATAAAAATTGAAACCACACATTGTAACACTCCTTCATGACAGGAATACACACACAAATGACACAATAACAGGATCAACATCACTTGAGCTAGTTCTGTTTCTTTGTGAAGTAAAGATTATTCTATGCCACACATACTTGTCGTCGCATTTCACGTATGTATCTATCTAGTTTCACGCCAAGCAAATAATTGATGTAGTCATATGGAATAAATCTTTGGTATTACTATTGTACCAAAGATTTAATACATCCCACCAATGAAAATATTACATGTCAGCTAATTTTTTTTTTTTCTCTCATCTGATATGTAAGACTCTCATTTATGAGATGTACTGAATCTAAGTACAACAGTAATACCAAAGATTTACTCGTACTCATGGACCCAAATGGAGCTTGGCTTCATGTGTTTTTCGTCAGTGCTAGAGTCATTATTATGCATCAAAAGAATAAATGATAAATTACTAAGCACAATAAGTAATAAACAAATAGTATATCTAGAAAGCATCAAAGGGCCATTCTTTTTAAACTCACTCATTGAGCTCTTGGCCACTGCAAGAGAATAATATATATACTCTTGCAATGGTGACAAACATATATTATTGTTTATGAATTAATGTTTCTCATAGGAAATAATTTTTATTTTTTATATACATATAAAAATATATAATTCTCATGTTTTTTTTCCTTCTCGCATGAATCTCACATATTTTTATATTGTGTAGGAAATAAAAATATCTCTTATAATATAATAAACATTAATTCCGTTTGTTTATGCTACATATCATATAAATATGATTTAGTAGGTATAAAGGCATATGAAGAGATATGAGTATCGCAAATAGTTCTGACTTGATACTCTTACCCATTTTTGTTTGCTGTGACAGAACAAGTTGTACTTCTCATAGTTAATTAATTTAGTGACACATGACATAGACTTGTTGGAAGCCTAAAACTATTCAATTATTTTTCTCTTCTTAGAATTATACTCTAAAGATTCCTTTAAATGAGAAGTGCGTTGCCACATTTGAGAGGTATATTTATTAATGTGCAGAGAACATTAGCTTTAGCTTAGGGAAAATCTACTCTTATGTTATATGTGATAATTTTCTCTCATATACACCCTTCGATAACTGTAGCACCTTTTTCTTTTCTTTTTATTTTTCAGGGGTGGAACCTACAAATTTATCTCTATAACATGAGATAACTTATCTCATTTAACATGATATTAATAAAACCTTTTAGATTAAAAACTAAATCCCCAAGAAAGTGGGATAGATTCTGGATTTGGCACTACCGGAACATTAGGCAAAGAAATATTAAGCAGATGTTGGTGGAGTCAAGAATCACATTCTCCATGTGTTTAGAATCCAAAATTTGATTACTTAAAAGATAACAAAGAACAAGGCTAGGACATTATGCAGGAGCTTTGGTGCATTATTCTTTTATGGGCAATGTTTCACTTGTGAAGAGATGCTTTTTTTAGGCTAATATGTTTCCAACGGGTAACGATAAAATTGTGTTCAATGATTATTTTCACCCTTGTCCTCGTTAGTTGGAATTTAATGTGATTTTTAAAAATTGCATTTGATGGAATTGGAAATGAGTTTTAGGCACAGAAAATTATTTAAAAGAACTTCTAGAGTTTGATGAGTACTTTCAAGAATCCTTCACAACATAGTGATAAAATGTTTGATTTTCAAATCAATAAATTTCTAAATGATCCCATCAATTTAAAAGAGGAGGTAAGTGGAATGAAAGTAACTTTGTCGGAAGAAAGGAAAAGGGGTGGTGTTGACAATTAAAGGTTATTTGTATATAAGAAAAATGTGTGTTATTTTAGACAATACAGTTGTGTCATTTTATAGATACAAAAAAGTGATATTTTTATTTTTATTTTTTCAATAAGACTCACATCTCTTTGTGTCTATAAAATTGAATAAATTATATCATTTAAAATGACACATACTTTTTTCTCTTATATATTTGGTTAACAACGCGAGTAGCAAAACTATTGCATTTTGTCTTGTTTATAGTTCAAAACCATCAGTGATGTCTAGCTATAAATGTCTCATTTTCTCATAAGGTAACACATTCATGAGATGCAAAACGTTCAAATATGGCATATTATTAATTTTTGCATCAGGAAAAACGGCCTGCAAAGGCATGCCGGTAAGAAGCCACCTCCAGATGTTGACTTGTGGGTCATGCAATGGCGTAAATTAATAACATTAACATTGAGCATTTCTTTGGTACTCTGTCCTCCTTTATTACAAAGAGGGAAAAAAAACTAATATTACAATTAATTATAAAGGAATAAATCTAATAAATGCAACAACAAAAAAAATTCGACTTTAGTTAGTAATGCATAGTTAATGGCGGAAGCCACAATTCCCTTTTTCTGTAAAGGGATGAAATTGGAAGAAGTATTTTTGAAATTTAGATCATCTCATGTGTTATTTTTTTTTGGTAAATATCTCATGTGTTATTTAATATAACCATACCATATGAAAAAATATTAACCATCGATAAACAAATCAATAGTAATAATATCATAACTTACTATTCTAATATTTTTTTCTCTTATTTTTTATAATCATTAACTTATTTTTATATGATTAGGACCCTCTACGTAACAAACATATAAAAGGATATACTTGCATATTTTTTTAAGTTACAATTATCTATGACCAAAGAAATAGAAATATGTTCACAAATGATAAAAAAAAAAAAAAATACTCAAAAATAAAGATTTATAACTAACTGACTTTTTCACCTTTTTCACCATCACACGAAGTCCTTATTACTATTTTTTTAAATAACATGATTGTATATCGTCTTTTATATAATTTTTTTTTTATATTTTGTGTGATTTTAAATAACATGATTGTATCGTCTTTTATATTTTTTTCTCGTCCATATAATTAGATATAGAGAGAAAATATTATACAAGAGAGATAATTAAAAAATTAATAATATACATCAAAATATGATAATTTCACTTACAAAGATACCAAATTATATTCTCCAAAATGCCAAATGATCTTTCCTATTTAATTTTACTAAACAAGTTTAATAACATTCTTTCTTTAAACTTTCAGTTCAAACTAAGTTTAATTTAAATAATTACTCCAAAATCTGGGGCCATAATCGGGTCAAGTAGAACCCTGTTTGACCCGGCTGTGAGAGACATTTGTTTGCACTTTTTAAAAAAAGTAATTTTTATCTCTTCCTTATTTTAGAAGTCCTTTTTGCAAAAGTTAAAGCTATTTATATTTTTATAAAAATATTTAGATTTTGAAAAAAATATTTGACTTTTGACTTCTGCTTTTTTAAAAGTTAAAATTTTTAACTTCAGAAAAAAGTAAATTTTTGACTTTTTTATGACTTCTACTTTTTTAAAAGGCAGATATCTAAACGAACTAAAAATAAGAAGTCATTTTTTTAAAAAAAGAAAAGAAAAGAAAAAGCAACTTCTGGAGTAAAAAAGACGATCCAAACGGGCCACTACAACCAAAGAGATTGATAACCCGTGTCTCGTGCCATCTTGAAGCTCCACTCACCATCTCTTAATCTTCAATGGCTTCCTTACTCAACATGGTTTCGCTTTCACCAAGAATATCATCAACCCCAAGAACTCCTTCAGTTCATGCTCGACCTGTTTTGGCACCGTTTTCTGTTTCATTTACCAGTAGGTTGACTCAATAGAGCTTTTTTGGTTGCTCATAGAGTGAACTGTTGTGTGTTCTAAACACCCTTTTGGGCTTCCTTTTGTATTCCCATATTCAATGTGCCTGAGCTGACTAATCATGCTTCTGCATGGTTTCTCAGCTACCAACATGGTTAAAGTTGCAGTTTTTATGTGTTGCTTTTATTGGGTCTGAAATTGTTTGTGTTTATGTGGACATTGTAGGGCGGAGATTAACCATTCGAGCAACAGAAACTGATGCAAATGAAGGTGTTTTTGGGTTTTTTTGTTTGATGTTAGTTGTTCATTTCTCATTATTTGTATTTCTCACAGAAAGTGCTTTTTGTGTGTTGTGTGTGTGTGTATTTGTGGGGGTGTTTGAGCAGTTAAATCTCAGGCACCGGATAAGGCACCAGCTAAAAATGGTTCAAGCTTCAATCAGCTTCTTGGTATTAAAGGAGCTGCCCAAGAAACAGTGAGTCAAACTCAACCATATTGCTATTTCTTTACATTCTCTGATGGAGATTTGTTGTTTGGATTAGGAAATTTTTCTTCAATTTTCATGATGGATGGATGCATGAAATACTCATAGTCAGATTTTATCTGGAAGTTACGAAGTTGGATGGTGTAGTAGATCAAGGACTTTTAGGATGAGTATTTCTTATTTCTTCAGCCACTTAAATTTGAGAAGTAGAAGTTCAAGAGTGAATGAAAACAAATGTTGTTGTTGTGGGGATGGGAACATTGTGAATTTTTACAGAGGAAATTTGCTTAAGCTGCTCATAGGGCCTGAACTGCGGTTTATTTATGACACTGCCCCCTTGTGCTGTATTCCTATTATGTCACTCATAAACACATTCACAACCGAAATAGAACCTAAAAGATATATACATATAGCAGTACATGGCTAGCCAAAGGCCTTATATATACTCCACTAAGTGATTGGATAGCTACAGTCACAGATCTCAATTACAATGCTTATCCTAAGCCAAACCTAAAGTTAATAATTTAAATTGCAAGGACCATAGATATACATAGTTTTTTATTCTTGGGGAGTATTGCAACAATTCTATTACCACTTGACTCCTTCAGCAGGGATTTTGCTTCAATGTCAACTAAGCATCACTGAATTGATGATGGTTTGATAAAAATTACTATAGATATGTTTGAATCTGTCAAAAACTAATTACAGATAGTACATACCATTAGCAGGGTGTAGTACAAGGACAAAGTGGCATGAATTAGATCACATGGTGACAAAATGACGATGGAATCGGGTGGTAAGCTTTATGACAGCAGGAAAAATGAACCAACCTAGTTTTCTCAGTTGAAATTCGATGCTAAGCTGTATTAGCTTTTGAGCTTGCTTTGGATATATTTTGCATTGGTTGCTTCCATAAACTTTTTTGGTAAACTGCAAAGGCTTAAAAGTAGAAGTTAGGAAACAAGACAGCGAATTTAATTGGAGAAAGTGAAGACTGTAGGATTTGATAATGGCATATTTTACAAAAAATGCTAAACTACTTTTAATTTAATAAGCACTTCCTTCCTTGGAGATGAAGGTTTACAATTTTCTATTGCCAGAGATATTACTGGCTTTTCAGATGGCAATTCCATTTAACACCTAAAATATGTAAGATAAGATTGAACCGGTTGAAGGACTGAAGAAAAGGTGTTATCTTGTCCAACTAAAATGGCGAGCCATGTGTTCTTGGTAAACAAAATGATCTTAATCTGGCATACTGAATTGCTGATGGACCATTCATATAAGAAAATGCCTTCATACTGTTATTGGCAAACTTTTCCACAATTGGCTACCACACTGTATATTAATCTGAATATGTGTCTTTTAATCCATCAATGCATATTAATCTATTCTTATTTTTGGATACATTATTGAAAATATAGTTTAGTATTTTGAAACACGATAAGTATGACTTTGGTTCTAAATTACTAACAATTATTGGCATTTGCAAGTTTATTTCAGTTAAAATTATAGAGATTTAGGTAAGGAAGAAATATATGAATATTATTTGCAGTGTGTAATGATGTAATAAGATGTGATATAAAGACAAGGACTCACCCCTATTAATAGTAATACTAGACTCTTGATTCTTATTAAATAAGGGAAGAAATCATGAAATATAAGGAAATATGGAAACCAGTCCTAAAAGATCGTCTAAAGATACTTTAAGATATTCTATGATATAGGAATGATATTATGAGATATTTTCTTGATAGGCAAGACAGGTTATAATGGAGCCAGTTTGCGGCAAGACGGGATGTAACGGAGCCAATATGCGAAAAGACAGTCTGAAATGGAATCAATTCGCACAAAGATAGGGCAGAATGGAGCCAGCCTATTGAAAGATAAGTTGAAACTAAGCAAATTTGAGGAAAGACAAGCTGAAGCCTGAAAAGACAACAAGGATGGGTCATGGAACTAGAGCTTGAGACTAAAAACTCTACATGATAAAACCCACAAGGGAGAGATTGGGAGAAAACAAAGATGAGAAAACAAAAAACACAGGATATAGGCTTAATGGTACTTGAGTTCCATGAACTCAACAAAATGGAAGGAAGAAACTATCCTTAAGGTGGATAGTGGATACCATGTTAAAATTATCGGAATTTAGGTAGGGATGAAATATATAAATATTATTTGTAGTGCGTAATGATGTGATAAGATGTGTGTTAGAAATATTGTAATAGGTTGATAGTCAATGAGGGATGAAGTAATTGTTATGGTCAGTCTATATAATAGAGTCTCTGTTATGCTATTGAAACACAGATTTAAACATATGCCTCTCGTTTCCTCGTTATTCAACATGATGGCTCTTCCTCGTTATTCAACATGATATCAGAGCCATGGTATCGAGAGTCTGAAGAGAGGCAACCTTAGTACCTAAATACACGCCTCCAGAAACCATGTAGTCCATCTAGTTTTCGGTTTCTCCTGTCATGATGTTCCTCTAGCAATCGTTTGCCACTGTTGTCCGTCTGTCACTGTCGACTAATGCGGTCTTCCCTCGTTCTTTTTTTCATATTATATTGGTGGTTATTTTTTATTTTTAAGTGTTCATTTCTGACAAGCTTAAAGCTTAGTAAACTTTAGCTTGAGGGGTAGTGCTAGAAATATTGTAAATAGGTTGATAGTTAGTGAGGGATGAAGTCCCACATCATTAAATTAGTGTTATGTAACTGTTATAGACTTATAGTCAAGTCTATATATTAAAGGCTCCGCGGTGCTATTGAAATACACGGATTATAACGTATGCCTCTTTTAGCTTATTATTCAATAATGTGATGCAAAAGACAAGCACTAACCCCAATTTATAGTAATACTAGTACTAGACTCCTAAAGATTTGAGATGTGAGGGGATGTGGAGCCTAGTTAGGAGGACTAATTGTTTGCTGTATGAACAGAGTTAGAGGCTCTAGTATGAAGGGACCAATATTGAAAGCGCATTGGTTGGAGGTGGGTTACGGTGGTTCCGCCATCTATATGGTGAAGAAAGGGTGGTGTTTGTAGGCCTGCAGAGAGCTGAATGAGTAGTGAACGCAGCAGAGCTTCAGTGGGGGGAGGGGGGGGGGGGGAGTTTATGGTGAAACAAATCATGAAATATAGAAACCAAGCCTAAGAGATCACCAAGATACTTTAAGATATTATAAGATACAATAATGATGTTATGAGATATTTATTGATATTCTAATGTATTGATCAGATAACTGTTTTTGAAAAATATCTGTATTTGATAATTCATTGTGTAATATATTGTGCAGAATAAATGGAAGATTCGTCTTCAACTTACAAAACCTGTCACTTGGCCTCCATTAGTTTGGGGAGTAGTTTGTGGTGCTGCTGCTTCTGGTACTAAATTTTAGCATATCATTAAAATGTGACATGCATGGTCACAAAAAGTTTGGTCCTGCATTATACTTGGATTACTGTTTAGAAACGTTCATTTCAAAGTTCTCTATTTATTGCCTCATCCTTCATTCATATATTTGATTTGATACAACTTCTCTATGTTCTGAATCAACTGTGCCCTCTGGGCAGGAAATTTCCATTGGAATTTTGAGGATGTTGGTAAATCAATTCTGTGCATGATGATGTCTGGCCCATTCCTTACAGGATATACACAGGTAATATTTTTTTATTTGTTGATATCAAGTTTTACCAGCCATGAGTATGAAACTGACATTACATTGAATTGTTGGGCTGTTAATTTTTTAGACTCTGAATGATTGGTATGACCGAGAAATTGATGCAATAAATGAACCTTACAGACCAATTCCTTCTGGGGCAATATCTGAGAATGAGGTATGTTCTATATCTGAAACTTTTTCTGTTGCCACTTGTTTGTTTTGTTTTTATTTTTTCATTTTTTGTTCAAAATTCTGCAGGTAATCACTCAAATATGGGTGCTGCTACTTGGAGGTCTTACCTTGGCTGGTATATTGGACATATGGGTGGGTATTGTACACAATTGTACCATGATCCATCTCTTCTGAGTGTAAATTGCCAGATGCTTGGTTGCTAAAATCTTCTCCTTTACAGGCAGGGCATGATTTCCCTGTAGTTTTTTACCTTGCTGTGGGTGGATCTCTTCTGTCATATATATATTCCGCACCTCCTTTAAAGGTAGTTTTTTTTAATCTCCTTATCTTTTCTTTATACTTTCTATTCCTTTTGCCTTTGATGGTCATTTGACTAAGTTCTACATGTTTTTCTAGTTAAAACAAAATGGATGGATTGGAAACTTTGCCCTTGGAGCAAGTTACATTAGTTTACCATGGTGTGGTATCTTCTACTTTGTTAAACTCTAGTTGCTATCGATTTAAACTGTTATCCTCGTGGTCAATTTGTTGTTTTTAGTTAATTCAATGATTTGGTTTTTATCTATATTCTCAGATAAATGAGTTGCTGAACATGAATGGTGCATAGCTTTTAATTGCAAGATGCACCTGAAAGGCCAATTAATTGCTTTTTTTTTTTTTTAATTAAAAGTTATTGCTTCTGGATAGCATTCACTTTTTGGAATGTGATAAGTATTTGTTTAGATATATAAAACCATTAATGTGGCCGCACCCAACAGCTTAAGCTTTTGGGTTGAATTGGTTCTTTACATGGTATCAGAGCCTCGTGTCCCCGGTTCGATCCTCGCCGCCCCCCACTTTCTTTCAAGTGGAATTTCTTTGTTCGCACAGGTAGGCAGGCCTGTGCATTGTCCACCCTTCAAGTCCAGTGGACTCTCGTGTGAGGGACGTGTTGAGATATATAAAACCATTAATGTGACCTCACCCAACAGCTTAAGCTTTTGGGTTGAATAGGTTCTTTACAATATTCAATAAAATCTAACTGGGGTAACCCTAGGTCCATTTCATCAACAGAGATTACGATTAAACTGATCTTGTTTGATTTACTTCTGAGTTCTATTTTCTGGATTTGCACTGTTTCATAAGGTCTTGATCAATTTCTTATTGACAGGTGGGCTGGTCAGGCTTTGTTTGGGACTCTTACACCAGACATAATAGTTCTAACACTCCTTTACAGCATAGCTGGAGTATGTAGTATATGCTGCATGGCATTTTGTTGGATGTATAATATGTCTAATGATACCTTAGACTTAATTATTGTTGTTGTATCACATGGCAGTTGGGAATTGCCATTGTCAATGACTTCAAAAGTATTGAGGGGGATAGAGCTCTAGGGCTTCAGGTCTACTCTAATATCCTTTGCCTTTCAATAACTGTAATCTTAACTTTTCATGTTTCACAAATTTTAATCATGCATAGTCATTGAAGTAGCTGCTGCTGACTTTTCTATGGGCAATCTTGTTTGAATAGTCTCTTCCAGTTGCTTTTGGAGCTGAAACTGCAAAATGGATATGTGTTGGTGCTATTGACATCACACAATTATCTATTGCTGGTACATTTTAATCCCTCAAATATACACAAATAATTTCTCTATCTTCAATAGTGCTTTGACTTTTTTACAGGGTTGGAAACTTGTCTCCATATTAACTTAACCATCATCCTTATTTGTTAATTACCTGTGGACAACTGTTGTTTAGACTTTTGTTTTTATCTTTCGTCTAAAGCAATGTTATGACCATGATACAATGGCAATTTTTTGTTTTGTCAAAGTTTCTTTGTCGAATTCTTTCTAAATTAGGTCTCAAGAAATTCAAGTACTAGTTTTAATAATTTGCTTCTGATACAATGAGTGGTGATGTCAAAAATGACAAGTAAAAGCAGTACTAGTAATCAGCACAGAATTAATGTGGAGGTCAGCATTTTAGAATAGGTTCCAAGTATTTTTCTTTTCTTTTATTGTATCTATTTAATGAAAGAATTGCTAGGGAAAACCCAGTTACTTTATGAATAAATTCTTTTGAAATATAAATGTTGATATTGCAACTGATGCAGTATTAATCTTCATATCTTTTTAAAAGCTAATAACAGATAGCTTTAAAATATCATTATATAAATTATTTAATCTTTTAAGCTCCAGAAATTGTCTTTGTTCATTTCGGTGATAAGAATATAGAGAGATAAATAATCATGTTTAAGATGATTTAGTGTCTTGAATTCTGGTAAAGCAGTCTTTTTCATTTGTAACCAAGACATAATTTTGTACTAGAAATGAAAATTGGATTACATTTTAATGCAAATAATTTTACTGACATTTATGGTTGCAGGATATCTACTTGGGGCTGGTAAACCGTATTATGCGTTGGCTTTACTTGCCTTAATAGTCCCACAAGTCATATTTCAGGTAAATCACATAGTTACATGTACATGATGTTAAAAAATTGTTTGCCATCACGTGACATAAGCATAGCTATTAAGATATGCTAAACTGTTCTATCTTAATTTGATGGTGTCATCTCACTGTTTATTATCATGTTGTGCCTTGCAGTTCCAGTACTTCCTCAAGGATCCTGTGAAATATGACGTTAAATATCAGGTATATATTAACCACTTAAACTTCAGCTTCTAAGCTTATATTGTGGAGCAGGGGCAATGCTAACCCCCATTATTCTGAACTTTGAAATATCATGAATAGAACGTGGCATCTATTTAGAGTGAATTACTCCAACTTACACTATCGTTCTCATGATTCCAGGCTAGTGCACAGCCATTTCTGGTGCTTGGTCTATTGGTTACTGCTCTAGCAACTAGCCACTGATCTTTTATGTGCAAAAGTTACTAAAAGGGCATTAATTCATGAAATAAAGATGAAGGAGGAGTCAACAGTGAGAAGGAAATTCACAAATCTTAGATTGGCTGTTGTTAGGTACCAATATTCAAGATATGTGCCATAGTTTTTGTTTGCCACCATGCATACAGGAAGTATCACCAAGGCTTGTCCTGTAATTTGGTTTTGTTCTCCCACTTATTGGAGTTTTGATGATTTCTGAGTTTAGGTTGAGAAGGTTTCTTTTTTAGAAAGCTTGTACAAAAAGTAGACATATCCAATTCCCTTTCATGGTTTCATAGACAATACATAATTACGTACCCTAATGCCAAAGGTTATCCTATATTGATGTATTTGTTTTTGCATTCATTACACTTGTCATAGAGCATTCATTTATCACATTCATAAAACTTACACGCACAACACAAAACATGGCTTAACTGTGATCTTGCATCCGGTGGTTCAAATTTGTGTTAGTTTCTATTTATCCTCGATGTTCTTCATAATCTAAAGGTCCAGTTCTTATCAGTCAACTTCCACTCTTGATAGAACTCAAATGTTTCAAGATAAAAGACCATCCATTTTATAAGCAAAAAGATAAGAGAACTTCTACAACCCCATGATACACATGCCCCTTCTCTTAGTCAAAGATAAAGGGACTACCTCCTAAGGATCCTTCCTAAACCTGAAGGACTTACCACTACTAACAAACAGCACCATCAAAACACACATATTACAGTACTCCTACAGCTTAAAAGGAAATCACAACAAAACATTACACTACAACTTCCTCACACACATATATATATTTTACTTATTCTTAAACTTAGACTCATCAATATCTATGCCTTCCTCTTTAGCACGCTCTTCACCAGACTTGTCCATAGTGCTTAGCCCTCCTTTGCGTCCCATCTCTTGGTACCCTTCTCTCCCCATTTGCTCCTTCCTTGTATGCCCTCCTTTGGTTCCCAGTTCATGATACCCCTCTGACCCTAGCTGCTCCTTCCTTGTCTGCCCTCCACGGCTCCTTCCTACACATGGATTAACATCATAAAACTCATTAAAACTAACATAAAATGCATTACTTACATAAAAAAAAGGTTATAACATAAAAGTGTTATTGAGAGAGAGAGAGAGAGAGAGAGAGAGAGAGAGAGAGAGGAAAAGAGGGTTTGCATGCCTTCAGCAAGGTGTTCTTGAGCTTCAAGACTCTTCCCACCAGTTCCACCAGGAACCACAGTTTCACCATGCCTTGCCTTCTCATCAAGTTCTTCACGGTTTTGATTTTGAGATGCCATGTTACTCACACTGAGACTTTTTATTCCTTTTGCAAGGACTTTTTTGCTTAGGAAGTGAACTGAATGACGATGATGACTAGTAGTGTTAAGGGTGTCAACTAAGAAAAAGACTTTGCTATTGCTCACAGCACTGAAAGAAGAAAGGTTCATCGTTTTATAGGGTGCAGAATATTGCATGTAAAGTCGTAAACTAATGTAGGGTCATAAATATAGCAATGGAGGAAAAGCCTCTTAGGTGAAAAATAGTTTATCAAAGGAAACTTAAGTGCAGCTATGCATGGACACGTGCAACAGACGCGGCTAGAGGTGAAAGAGGACACGCACGTAGGTGCCACTCTGAAAATGGCATACGATGACACGTACGAGTCTTAGCACGGTGAATTCTAGCAATTAGCTATCGGTTGCGGTGGTCTTAAAGGTTTGCCTATATGCCAAGTTATGAATATTAATTTGTGTTATATGAAATCATAATACAACAAATTTGATTAGAAAAGCTATGACATTTTTAAAAAGTAGAAGACATGAATATAATATAATTTAGTGAGTTATGAACGCTAGATGTACACCGGTCATATATAAGTGATAAATAAGAACATCATTTCTACATCAATTCAGTGTTCCACTTAAGTTAGATGCGCCATAAACTAAGGAATGAGTGCACAAATAAAATTAAAAGCAAGAACTAAAAAAAATAGTTATCAAGAATGAACAATTAGAGTTTCGACTTCCCTCAATTTTCACCTAAATAACCTAATTCAATTTCCAAGATGTTCCGAAATCAATATTGTTAATTCCTTGGTATCCTAACCCTTTGATCTTTGTTAAGAAACATATTCCTTTAATATTTCAAAAGACGGGTGAAGCCTAAAGATTACTTAATTATCAATTGCTCATTTAACATGTCTATCCCTATATCATATACGCAATAGGGTGATTTATTCATGTATAATTCCTATACCACCATCCCTATTATTATTAGGGTGTGCATGGGTTGAATTGAACTAAATTTTTTGAATAATTGAACCGAATTGTTTTAAACGGTTTGGTTCGAAAAGGGTTCAGTTCGCTTCAAAACCGATTTGGTTTGGTTGGAAACGGTTCAGTTTGGTTTAGAACCCGTTTGGGTCGACTCTATTCTGAAAAGAAAAAAAAAAGAAAAAATAAAGAAATAAGTAATAAAAACTAGTTCGGTTTTGTTCGAAAATGATTCGGTTCTTGGACTGGTTCTAAAAACCAGTTCATGAGTTTTTAAAAATCAGTTATTTTATGTGTAGTTTAGTTCAGTTCACAGTTCAGTTCAATTTTTTGATTCTTTTGCAAATCTCTAATTGTCATATATGATTCTAGAATCAATGTATAAGTGATCAATTTCCATACATGTAATATGGAATATAACACAAGATATTAAAAAGAGAAATTGTATCAAAAATCAAAATAAAGTTACATTAAGATCCACAAGGGTTCCATCTAGTCCTAACACAAGGAAATTATAAGGCTACAGATGAAAGGAGCAAGAAGAGAACGATTAAAGAAAGACTTCATTAGAATCCATGAGGGAGAAGATTAATGTTTTCATATGTTGATTATGTCTTTACCCTCTTCTCTCACGAACAACTAAGTTGTGCACTCTGCAATAACCCTAGTCGTCACTCTGTTCTTGAAAAAAAAAATGCTTTAAAAGCCCTTTCATACGTTGACATGCATGTTCACACACACACCCTTAATTTTTCCTACCAGGCTAAAGGTTAGAGGTACTGACCTTCCCTTGCAAGATATCTTTCTCTCGTTGTTTCGTAGATAGAAACACTAGCATCCTTTGCTAGACATTTCTTGTTTAACACTTCAAATAATGATAATTCATCAAAAAATCTACTAAATCATGAGACTCTTGCTAAATTTTGGAGTTTTAAAGCTCATATTTTACATTCATAATAGGATAAAAAAAAAGGTTATTAACGAGCGATCTTATTATCTTAAAAACAATAAAGAGCATCATGACTTTACCATGTCTTAAATATTTCACGGTCGATCTTTTAAAGTTGATTGAAGCATGCAAATATTAATTTTTCCTTGGCTAGACCATAATCTGATCATTTATGGTGGTAGTTTGGATCTAGCACGTCTTGTTTTTCTTTTTCTTTTTCTTTTTCTCAAATACTTTGTTTGGGAGTTTGGAGGAGAGGAGAAGAGAAGGAAGGGAATTCAAGGGTGAGGGAGGAGACGGAAAGAAAGTAAATTGGAGAGTATTCTCTTCTTTTGTTTCGGAGTTGAAAATATGGTAAGTAAGAAAAATGGAGAGTTAATTGAGATATTATTACCATTTTAACATTTTTTAAAAATTAATATAATTATTAAATTTTACAAATTACATTAAATTTAAAATTTTTAACAAAATTATTTATTTACTTTTCACACTACTAAAAATGATCATATTTTTGACAAAATTCTACGTTGCAAACGACGAAAATTCCATTAAAAAGGTATTTTTCTGTCATAATACTTTTCGATGAAAGGCGACAAAATTTTTTATCCATTGAAATATTTTACAGAAATAAATTTTCTGTCAAAATTTAGTTTTTTCAAAAGTTTTGACGAAAATGATTTCTTAAATATTTTCAATGGAAAAACGAATTCCGTCAAAAAATTTGATGGAATGTTTTCCGTAAAAATATTTCAATGTAAATGTGTTCCAATGAAAATTTCAAAGGTTTTCTTCAAAAAAAATTACCAAAATATTTTCCATAAAAAAATTTCGATGGAAATGTGTCCCGTTGAAAATTTTCATGGAAATTTTTTTGTCGAAAATTTGGATGAAAATTTTTTCTATCGAAAATTTTCGATGAAAATATGTTCCGTTGAAAATTTTGATGAAAAAGTTTCTGTCGAAAACTTTCGAGAGAATTTAGACTCCGTTAAGAATTTTTATGAAAATTTTTACCGAATTATTTTTCGTAAAAAATTTTCGATGGAAATGTGCTCCCTAGAAAATTGTGATGGAAATATTTTTCGTATAAAATTTCGACGGATATGTTTTTTCGTCAACAATTTTGAGGGAAATGTTTCAACGGAATTTAGATTCCGTAAAGAATTATGACAAATAATAATTTTCCGTCAATTTTTTTTACAGAAATACTTTTCGTCAAAAATTTTACGTGAATATTTTTTGTCAAAATTTTCGCTGGAAATATTTTCCGTTGAAAATATTGATGGAAATATTTTGCGTCGGAAATTTTGACGGAAATGTTTTTGTGGAAATTTTCGACAATATTTAAATTCTGTCAAATTTTTTGACAGAATTGTTTTCTGTCGAAACTTTTTTATGGAAATGTGTTTCGTTGAAATTTTTGACGGTTTTCGTGGAAAAGTTTGACGAAAATATTTTCGTCGAAAGTTTCGACGAAATTTAGATTCGATCAAGAATTTTGACTGAAATTTTTTTCTGTAAAAAATTTATGTTAGTGATTATGACAAAATCTTGTTTTGACAAAAAAAATTTCATCTCTATTTTCGACGTAATATGATTTTTTTCAAATATTTTGTCGTTATTTTCGATGAAATATTTTTTGTGAATAAATTTCGTCAATGTTTGAGACTTTTCTAATAGTGTCATATTTAAAAATGATTCACATTTATGTAGTTTTCACGTTTTAATGCTAAGCATAGATAAGTAATTATTAATATTTCCCTCCTTAAACCCCTCAAATTATGAGAACTTTAATTTTAAGGGTGATAAGGGTTTTGGAGAATTTTGTAAAAATCTCGAATCTCCCATTTTTTTAGGAAATGATTAATAAACTCTCTCATTCATTTCCTTTTCCTCTGAAAACTAATTCCCAAACAAACAAATTATGTGGACAAAGGCATTCAATGCCATGCATCTAAATACACAACGAAAACAGAAATACAATTCAATTGAATCCAAAGTTTTCTATTACAAGTTTGTAAAAATAACTTGTTTATAATCATTTGCAAAGTAGCAATGAGGGAGATGGACGATCTTTTCAGAATGAATATGCGCATACCTTGGTGATGAAACAAATAGGAAGAGAAATCATAAGAAATCAGAAAGCATGTAAATAAGGTATAAAAAATTAAGAAATCTCTTATCTGTTTAGTCTTGTAACTTCCAGTATCATACCTAAATAGTAGTCAAGTAACCTGTAAAGAACCTTGGGATACACCACCCCAAAAGCTAGCTCAAAGGGTGTGAGTGCCCAAGATCTTATAAACTCCACATTAGTTGCATATACAACCAATGTGAGACTATATATCTCAACACGCCCCTCACACGAGAGCCCATTGGGCTTGAAGAGTGGACAATGCAACAGGCCCAGCCTACCTGTGCTCTGATACCATGTTGAATATCATAGATACAAGAGGAAATGATAGTAATCCTTATTGTATTAAACTACACAACATTGGTGCTATTATATAGCAAACCAATTGAAGAATACAAAGAGACACACTCAATGTGAGACTTCTACACTATTAACACTAACATTCCCCCTCAAGCTGTAGCATATAGATCATATGCTACAAGCTTGATACATAAATAATACTCCCATTAGGAACCAAAAACAACAATGCTACATCAACGAAATGAAATGACTAAGTACAACAAATCAACTGGAATGACCATCAGTCTGAAGAGCTGATAAAGAGACAGTGCTGGAATGGACATCAGAGCATGGATGGTGCCGGAATTATCATCGGCAAAGACAACTGAGCTGACCAGGACATCAGCATCAAGATCCCTCTCAGACATTTCATTTAACAGTTGGTGAGCAGCCGTGGTTTCCCCTTGACTATGCTACAAGCTTATTGCAAGAAAGACCAAGTAACATAACATCAAAATAAATCTCCTAAATGAGAAACCAAAAATCAACAATGTGCTAAAAATGGCGTCGAAATGAACGTCAACATGGAAGATGCCGGAATGATCATCGGCAAAGACAATTGTGCTGGAATGACCATCAACAACATGGACGGTGCTCCCCCTC